AACACTTTACATTCATAGGGCAACAAAATCAACTATTGCTGGAACTTGGGTTTCGGTTCCTACTGAAATCAAAGGGTTTCTGGTCACCAGACCATAAATTTGAAATCAAAGGGTTAAGGTCTCGTTTGTCACTGAATGCTCACAGGGCCACATAAGCTAGGGTTTTGGGCAAAGCTAGAATTGATCATGTCTCATTCCTTCGGAATCACGAAGACGCTGATTGCAATGAAGTGTAGATGTGGTTAACAGAAGACGAGGAGACATGAGAGAAATTAGGAAATTAGTTAGAAACGATAACTAGTCTTCGTTCACGCTCCTCTCCAAGCTAATCGAGTTCCACTTTTTTCTTATCTGACTCGCTTGACCATAGTAATGGTTAGTAAAGTTCCATTTTTTCTTCTTTCTTGCTTCTACTTCATTTAATGGTGTTTGGAACTATGGTTGATTTGTAATTTTTGCTGCTTGGATTATGAAATTGATTCCTCAGGGTATAAGTTGCGATATTCCCTATTAGTAATTAGATTGTCTTTTTTTTTTTTTGCTTATGTCAATTGATTAGTTTCAGTGAAAGTATTAAGTAATCATAATCTAAATAATCCAATGCATCTAACTCTGTGGACTTTTGTTTTATTCATCTAACAGGGAGTTATATGAATTGTGAATCACTGTGAATTATTAGAATTGATATGTGAATCCTTCAATGGTGGATAGAGGAACTCCAGCTGCTTTCCAGATCACATATTCGTCAAATAACAAAGCTCCCACTCCTACTTATTCATTTGTTATAGTTGTACACTGATTATGAGCTTTTGTTGCTTAATTTACCTTTCTCTCCCTGCAGGTTGCAGGCATTAGGTTCTTGTGGAAAAATATTATACAGTCAATCACAAAAGTGAGGTCAGGGGATAAGGGACTTGGTTTCATCCTTTCACACACCATGGGGCTAGTTAAAACCCTTAACTATTTATTTTTCCGAAAAGAACCTTACAACTTTGGTCAAAGCATTTGGGAGTGTCGCCCATTAAGGAAGCTTGCTAATGTTGTATGTTTCCATATTTACCCTTTTCTGATTGGATCTTTTTAGTGATTAGTTAATACTTTTTACTTTTTTTGTGCAGACATAAATTATGGGTAATAGAGATAATGTTGATGAGATGTCATGCATAAGTGCATACATAAATTGAGTGATGTCCCTGATATATACTGATTAGCAGCAAAAACCAAGGTATGTCAGAGGGCATTTTTGTCTTTTCACAAACATAATGTAACATGAACCATGTTTTAACTTTGTTTTTGTTTTTGTTTTTGTTTTTGTTTTTGTTTTTGCGGGGTGTTTTCGTCAATCCAAATTGCATTGAACCATTTGGACTCACTTTAATTGAGGTAACTCTACACAGTTTCACCACTTTTATTTTGTTACCAATTTATTTATTTATTTTTTATAAAATAGGTTATTGTTCATGGGTTACCAATGGTTGCCACGAAAAACAGAGGCCCAATAGACATACATCGGGTTAGTCTCGTTAAATATTTATTTTCATTTCATGTTTTATTGGCAACTTCTTTACAAATTGTGTAAGTTCATTCGTTTTTAGTGAAGAAAGCGGTGAATCTTGCGGATTTTGATGCGTTTATTTGTAATAGCGGAGCGGATTTGTATTGTTCTTCTTCTCATTCTAAAGATAATCTGTATGTTTTTTTATTTATATCATCATTTGCATATTGAGTATCGATGGGGTGGAGAAGGACTTTAGAAGACTTTGGTCAAATGGGCGTCTTCTATAATTGATAAAAAATCTGAGATGAAAAATGAAAAACATGTTGTTACAGAAGATGAAGAAGTCACAACAAATTAGTGTTACGCTTTTAACATTCACAAGCCTGGTTTAGTAAGTTTTTTTTAAATGAATTCGTATTAATGAAAGTATTTTGCTATAATTGAGTAGTTGAATTTGTATTTGTAGGTGCCACCTGTCAAGGAGCTTCAAAAGTTATTAAGGATTCAAGCTCTCCGTTGTCGTGTTATTTATTGCCAAAATGGAAGGAAAATAAATGTTATTCCAGTTTCTGCATCTCGTTCTCAAGCTCTCAGGTATTTATTAATTTTATTTAAAAAGAATTATCTTTATAAAAACTGCAGAAAGATTAACTACTTGCATAATTCAGGTATTTACATGTTAGTTGTATTTTCATAGAAAAAAAAAGAAGAAGACATCAAACACATGGCTTAATTGGCTCTCTTTTACTTCAACATTGTTTTTTGTGATTCAAACGACTTTAAGTTCAGCTCCTCAAAACCCTTGAGCCAACCTCCATAATTAGTATAGTGCACCATGTGGAGGCCAAATACTCAGCTTTGCTTTTTAAGAAGCAACTTGTTGTTTATGTTGAAAAGATATATGGATTTATTTGTAACATCTTGAAGAAAGAATTGTCACACTTTCTTTCCTATTGTATCCAGGTACCATATTTTTGAAAAAAAATTAGCATATTTTTGATATGCTAATTTCAGAATTTCCTAATAATGATCAGGCACCAATTGCAGGTATGCTAAATTCTTTAAATAAAAATTTCTTTATTGCCTTCCAAGTGTATAGTTGGTTAACCTTCCTTCTTATGTTCTCAAAAATGGTTACAAGTATGTAGTCGTAAAATGGTTTAAAACAACAGATTTCCAAATTTGTCATTTGTTTAATTACTAATTAGTGGTTTATTTTATTACATGCAATAAACCATTTGTAGAAAGTCACATGATCTGATAGATAAGAGATTATAAAATTATATTGGTTTAATTCAAGTTATAACTTTTGAGTGCTTCAAATCTGATTAGTCAAAAAAATGCTGCCGAATTAAGTTATCTTTCATTATTCTTACTGATAACCAAACCTATTGTTTTTTTCTTAGTCGGTTAGACCTCATAATTTTTTATTACTTTGAATTCCCATAAAAATGCATTTTTTGTTTGGTCACTCAGGTATTGAGTCGACCAGAGCAGTTGAATAAGCAAGCTCGTACACTGAATAAGCAATGTCTGCAATCATTGATCAGTGGGACAACAAAGTGGGTGATGGTAATTGTGGATCAACAGTAAGTCCATCCATGTCCACATTCAGATTTTGGTATTATCATCTATATATCTAACTAATTATACAACTTATAATTTACAGAAGTCGATAGGCGCAACAACAATTCAACACAACAGCAGTTAAACTGTTTTCTTTATATTGTTGTTTTGACGATTTTCCCCTTCTTGGTTATTTTCTCATAGAGACAATACATGAGTTAAAGTGTTACTTTTCTACCCTACATTCTTCCTGCTTATCTATCTTTTTGTTTTTTTTATTTTCTTTCTATCTGCTTCATGGACTGATTTTTATGCTTATATGTGTTTTTGGATTGTCATGTAGGCAGCATCCGAGCTTATAAAGGCTAACTAGTACAAGTTTTCTCTACGACTTTATGCCTATTTCATCCCTTCTATCTTATGCCTCAAGACAACCCTGATGTATTGACCAAAATACCCCTTTTGTGACTTAATGTCTCTTTTTGTGAAGTTATGTTTTATGGTTGTCACTTGATGTCTATTTAAGTTATTACATATCATATACATCATGACCAAACCAACATATTGTCCAAAGTACCCTGTATGTAAATTTTTTTTTTTCTGATTTACCAATAAATGCTATGTTTATGTGTAATAGTGTTAGCACATGAATTAATGTGTTTTTACGGAAATTATCTTAGGGTGCATACATATATGTTTCCTGGAAATTTTTTTTGATAGAGAGGTTAAAGAGCCATGATAGAGAGGTTAAAGATAAAGAAAGAGAAAGACAAAGAAAAAGAAAAAGAAAAAGAAAGGGAAATTAGAGAACCTGATCGTGATCGTGATCGTGAAAGCACGTATTTTTTTATGTTCTTGTTCTCTCTTTACTTTCTGCTTGTATTGATAATATGTGCTTTATGCTTTGTGGCAAGTATCTCTCTTTACTTTGACATGAATAATTATTAATACACCAATAACTTGTTTAAATAAACAGAAGAGTGTATGACAATAGAGGCAGCATGAAATGTTCAAATACCAGTAATGGCCCACCATATTCCGGGTAACAGTTGTTTTCCTTGGGCCAATAGAGACATCAAATGCACCTGCTACAAGTACAACATCCAAGGAGGTTAGTTTCATATCATGTTCCATCACATGCTGCTAAAATAATGCCTGATATTTGTTATAAAGGGAAAAACTCCAACAAACTATGCCCATTGTTTCATATTAGGTCCTTATGGGTTGGTAATAGCAGGTTTATAGGTTAAGTCAACTTTAAAATGTTGACTCTTCTATAGCCACAAAAATACTTGTTCAAGGACCTAATGTGGACAAAAAAAAGTTCCTGACTAATCTGATACAATAGGTATAGTTTGTTGGAGTTTTTACGACTTTACCCCTGTTATAAATTCAATGGCATGTTGATTATTTTGTATCATAGATAGATAAAATCTGATGAATACTAGGATATTTGTGTCTAGGATTGAACTGCACATGCACTCTTCTGGTAGAATTTACTAGAATTATATGTACAATATATAACAGTCTCCCATTTGGTAATGAATTGTTGCTTCCAAAACAAAAAAAAACTATCATAACATGTCAAAATCAATTGCTAAAGCAACCATGTGTGAGTTTTACTTGCAAACACAGTTTATTAGACCACAAGAGTAAGCTTCAAATTGATCATAAAGTTGAGTAATATATAGCAGTCTCCTATTTGACTTTTTTTAGATTCTTTATGATTTTTATTTAATTTAATTTTCTATCCAAACCAAATTATCCTTGAAAGGAGTTATTAATGATCATCATTTTTGGTGCATCTTGTGAAATTGTTCATAGCTGGGCTGTTAATGTTCCTGTTTGTTTTCATTTATGCAGGTAACAATCTTGTTGAAAGGACTTATGAATCAGATGTTAATGGTAACAAGTTTAACACTCGAGTCCATACGATTAGATGTTAATGGTAATGTACAAGTTTAACACATGTGTCTTTGTTATACATACAGATTAAATGCAATGGATTGTATTTTTGTATATGATATTTTATTTTATATTATGCAATGGATTGTATTTTGTGTATATGGTATTTTATTTCTATTATGAGAGATTAAATGCAAATTTAATTTATAAATTAATAAATATATAAATATATTTAAAAAAAAAATTAAAATTACGATACGCAAAAATGTGTGTCGTCTTCATTTATGACATGACCTTTCTTGACTGGGGCTTCCTTGATACGCATTGCGTGTCATAAACACGCGCGTCGTAAGGTTACGACACGCAAATGCGTGTCGTCTTCCTTTATGACAGGGACTTCCTTGATACGCATTGCGTGTCATAACCGCGCGTCGTAAATGCGCGTCATCTCTCTTTATGACAGGGCCTTCCTTGACGCGCATTTGCGCGTCATCTGAGCGTTTTACGACGCGCAATGAGCGTCGTAAAAGGCCTTTTTTGTAGTAGTGCTTGCATTCTTAAGTAGCACTAATCACACATCCAAACAAAATGTCAAACAAATACCTTTTCGATAATGTCAACAAATACTAATAAGCATATATCATAATTTAAAAAAAAAATCAAATTCTTCAAGTTTTAGTAAGATATGAAGGTTTTTTTTATTGTGAAAATAAAGCAAAAAGGAGGCTGAAAGAAACTTACACTCACCATCACAATCGGTGCATGTGACACTCTTCGTTTTAGCATTTGTTTCCTTTCGTATTTTTGAACAGGGAATTTGATATAGATTTCTTGACAAATATACCACCAACATTTGAACAAACGAAGCCTAGGAAGCTCTGCAAAATATAAACATATGGGGCTGTAACCGGTTGTTACTTGACTACCTGACTGAAGATAAGGGTTTAAATCAGCAAATGGTACATAAACGATGAATAGCCATTTCTTGGAGGTTAAAGTTTGTGTTTCACCAACCAGTAATATCATTGTAAAAGAAGTAAATCAGTTCACTAAGAACATTGCTAAACTCAAAAAACATAATGTCAGTGTGTGTGTGTGTGTGTATATATATATATATATATATATATATATATATATATATATATATACCTTTGAAAGTATACATCCAAAAATGAGATGCAAAGGTTCAACTATTGTTTTGTGTGTGAAGCATCCTCTGACTACAAACACAAGATTATTGATAAGACCTTCAGCAAAACAATCAAGACATGCAAGAAAAAGAAGAAAGAGGAATGTGAAGAGGCCAAGAAGGGAATATTTTAAATGTTTACTTGGTTGTCTAGTTTTGCATCCATCTCTATAATCATGGTTGCACGTTACCTAATAGACATTGTCTTTGAAATCTCCTAATGTGCTAAACTTATGCATAGGCTCATCATATATTGAGCATTCTTGCTTCTACATATTCAAAATATACCCTGCCAAAAAACAAAACTCAACTTTCAATTACATCATCTGCAATATTTCACCCAAAATATTCACAACAAATTAAACAATTTTAGCAATACAAATATTAAGTTAAAAAAATGTTGAAATATTTAATATTTAAAACAAGGGTTAAAATTGAAATTGGCCAACCAACTACATGTAATTTTATCAGAATCATCATTTCACTTTATTTTCTGCATATATGGTTCCATAAATAAATTGACATTTGTCCTCTTACTTCTCTTTATAGAAAATTGCAAAGTTTTTCATACATAGTTGACCTTAGATGAATTTGGTGATATGTTATCATAGCATGTTGCTTTATTTTATTTGTACCCTTTTCACCTGCATAATTAGACATGGTGTGCAAAAGACAATAATACCCTTATGAATGAGTAAAGCTTAAACTTTGATATAATAAGCCTTCACGTGGTGCTTTAACTGGACTTATAAGGAAAATGACATTTAAAAAATATTTGAAATGACAAGAACTTTGGAGAGATATAGGGAAAAATAAATAAGGACAAATATGTAAATATGTGGGAGATGGAAAGACTTACTCTGGATCAAGATGCCTTGTTGTGCTAAGAACATTTGTCTAGATGTAAATAGTTTAATCAAACTACTTTTAACATCCAACTTCTCACTAAAACGAATGTTGGGAGAGTTCACGTTTTGCGGATTATAGTTTCCCTGTAACCATGGCTTCTAGTTCTGCATTTATTTATATCATATACATCAAAAATAAATCAGAAGGGCTAAATGCATGAAATAGAAAAATACATTTGTTTATTGGTTTATTATAGCGTCTTATTTTCGTTTCTTTCAATTACAATACTGTACTTCAATTTATTTCCTAAGTAATTGTACTTTTCGAAATCTACCAATTATAACATCGTTCTTTCAAAATTTTACTTATTAGGACATTGTACTTTGAAAATTTTACTCAATTTTGGTAATGGTACTATACCTGAATTAAGCTAATTAGTTTACATATAGCCAAAACCATTGTTCTTTCATAATTTTACTTATTAGGACACATTTTTCTTCTTAATTTAGCAGTCACAAAGGTTTTGGCTATCCACCATACACAACACATCCTTATCTCATACTCTTTTCGAATAAGCCATCTTAGTATCATTTCAGCAGATGAAGAAAAAGTACCCCTCACCAATGACATAGAAGTGTGTTTCCATCATTTGAAAGCCAAAAATAAATAAATAAATAAAAATTAAGGGAATTAAGCTTTGGCTCCTCCAACAAACATATATACCTGTAATCATGAATGAGTTCAGAACTGAACGCTCCTAGCTGCGATTGCAGTTCAGATCAAACCTTTTCAATGGTAGATTAAAATTTACATAAAATAAAAAGAATTAAACTGAGAGGCTCCACCTTCAAGCAAAAAATTTAGTATTTCAACATGGTATTCCTTAGTTATTCCCATCTTCAATTTAAAAATTAAAAAAAAAATAGAAAGTGTAAAGATCATCTTAAAGAGTTAATCATTTTTTAACCACAAACATAACAATGCAAACGACAAAATTCATCATGCTTCAGGTTGAGTTCTTTTTTACTTGAAAGAGCATACATTTACCATTATCTTAAACCACATAAGAAGTTAATCACCCTTTGCATTGAAATCGTCAGCTTCAGACCTAACAAGCAACAACATTAGAAACAACAATAGAGAAGGGGTCAATCATTTCTGAATAAGGTA